AATTATGTGGCTTCGAATTTGGCGTTGACATTGGCGCGCCATGGTGAAATGTCGTAGCCGCAGACATCAATGCTTGTTTCGTACAATATAGTAGGTCACGTGCAGATGGCTCATTTTTCAGATAGTTTGAAAGATGCGAGTGGGACACTGTTCCATCTTTGGTTCTTCTTTATTTGATTTATTTTAATTTTGACTACATAATCTTTAAAACAAACTTAGATGAATCAACGACGAAAAGCAACCTTTCAAAAGCTATTAAACCGCTTGTCATTAGTTTGGTTCCATTTTACCTACTGGTCCCGAGATCAGATACGTTCCATTGTTTCCATACGAGCCACCGGCAGATCCACAACCACAGTTTCGGTAACGCCAAGTGACCGGCGGCCAGCCGTTTCGAATTCGAAGTGAGGGGGACCCCATTAACGTTCCCCCCTTTTCTTTCTGTCTTTAAATTATCACGAAACTGGTATAGAGGGAAAGGGCATTAGTAGCATGGTCCCCATGAATATTATGATGGTAACATTGGTATCATTTCCGAATCCCGCATGCGGCCGACAATAATAGTTAGCCCATAGTTCGTCTTACTTCGCACGAACACGCTATTCGACTATAACTGGACTAATCGAGTCAACTTGTGGGGATCGCTTAAACCGATGTTGCTCATAAGATTGGTCGCATCGTTGGTTACCAATCACTATCCCAGCAAATCATGATGCACGGCAGGGAGCCAGGATGGACAAGTTTCAGAACGCCATTTGACCATCGTTCCAACTAGAGACGTTTCACTTGTACTTGTAGTCGTACCCCTCTCTGGTCGTACCCAAGAACCTATCCAAGGGCGCCGGGGACCTCGAATTGTTTTCTGAGTTAAGTTGGGTACGTTTCGTTTGGCCAGTGACCCGGACTCGGCACTTCCGTTTGCGCACGACACAGCCGCACGAAATTGACGCTATTGTTTATGGCAAGTGATGGACCCATAATGATTTGGAACGCCTGCGATTTCTTAACAAGTTTTGTTAAAAAAACGATTAGCGATCAGAAGCGCCAGTGGATATGGGCGCTGGTGGCGACCAGTGGTGTAAACAAACTAATGGGGGACACGTCCCCACGCCCGCTCGAGGCCTGTGGCCCCCGAATTCGTGTAAAGCAGTTTGAGCTTTTTATTGTTAAAAATATACCGAATGCCCCCAAGTGCCCCCTCCCCTGCGAACTGAAACCAAGCTACGCTATGCAGGGGCGTTCGCATTTAAATTAATATTAGTGCGCAGGCCCAACATAGTCACCAATATACCACTACTACTAGTACTAGTCAACCAATGGTCCTCGGTGGAGCCTGTCCCGTGTTGTGACGCGTTCCCGAAGGAGTCGAGACGGGTCAAGTTAACGGCGACTCCTCGGGTCATTAGGCCCGTCGCCGGCGCGCCCGAACGGCCAGGAGACTCGACCCATTACCGTCACCCAATCTGCCAACTTCCGGGCGGGAGTGGTCAGTCGTTATGAAATAATCCACGAGCGTTTTCTTTTCACAATGTAGGCAGAGTTAATGGGCGTCCATCGCGTCGACCGTGGTGACTCACTCAGAGGTAAAATCGAGTGCTTAAGACGTCTGATGGTCAGACGCAAGATACAGGTTTCTTTACGTTGCTTTGATTTTGATTGACCAGTACACGGACGTTTTGTCTGAATGGTCAGCTAAAATGACAGGTCGTTTAGATAACAATCTGCCGATAGGATCTCCGTAGGAACAGCATCGACCAATTTCACGGAGCTTCAATTTGCGAAGCATTATTTGGTTAACAAACACATATCGAGCGATGTATACTGCCTGGGATTGGTTCTCAACTCTACAAAATGCAACCCAACTCGACAAAAATGAAAACGCAACCCAAGTCAGCCCAACGAAATCCCGCCTAACCCAAAACATTGAACCCCAACCCCTCCTAACCCAATTAAAAGAACCCCACCCATCGCAACCCAATTCAACCCAACCCGACCCAACGCAACTCAACTTGACCCAACTGAACTCAACGAAACTGAACTCAACGAAACCGAACCGAACCAAACCCAACCCAATGCATGCGCAACACAAGCAACCTAACCCAAACCAACCCAAACCGAACGCAACTCACCCGAACCTAACCCAACCCAACCCAACCCAACTTTACGCAACTCAACCAACCTAACCCAACCCATTCCAACCCTGTGTATCTATACCAAACTCAACCCAACCATTCCAACTCAACTCAGCCCAACTCAACCCAACCCAAACCAATCCCACCCCATCAAGCCTAAATAAATCCAACTGTCCACCCCAAGCAAAAACCCAACCAAACCCAATCTAAAACCATAATACCTAAGAACTGAAATACATAATAGGCGCCATGACAAACAACTCCCCCTCATTTTTGGCGGGAAAAAAAATCACTTCATCATCATTATTCAGCCCCGAGGCAAGAGTTGCCTCGTGAAAGACAGAGGCACAGACACCAGGCGTTGCAGAAAACTGGAGTGGAAAAGAAAGAAGAAAGAGCAAAACTCCGCGGTTCAATGTCAGTCGTGTCAAGGGTATTGACCGGGGAACTCCAGCAAACCTTCGGCCTGAATGGTGTTGACGGAAGCCTATCAGCTTTCCACCCTTCGCAGATCTGTGAGCCTCCCTCCTCTTTTCTAATGGTAGCAATGGAAAGGACCCGTGACGATTTTTAATGCGAGGTAGACCCTGATTTGTTGATACTAAGGAAACGAAAAATAACGCACGTCTGACACTATCCCCCAACGAGACTGAGCGTGGGGGCGGTTCAGTCTTCAGAGGACAATTTTTGGATGGTTTGTGTCCAATCATCACAGGCGCTGAGGCGCAAAACACCAAACAGAACTGTATACTTCTTATCAATCAAAACTTCCTTTATGCTTATAGCCCATGATAGGATAACTGAAAAGTAAAAACATAAAACAAAATTATGGGAAAGGGAAAAGGAAATGCACCACGGGAAGTGTTTGTCATTCAGAAGAAAAAATTGATCCGGTCGTCAAAAATCGCAACACCAACAAAAGTACCGGTATTCTTACAAAGTTGCACAGCAGTTCCAGCGCTATGTAAACTACGTAAGACTGAACCTATGGACACTTGGCACTCAACAACCACCTTTAAGATCTTTTCCCCCCCCCGATATTTTTTATTCAGTAATGTTTTGGTATGGCAAACACTCTTCAATGATTTTCTACACTGAAATTTTGTTAGACTGGCCCCTGAGATACTATGCGAGCAAGAATCACGATTTCGGTTCCAGACATGACGTGCCGGTATAGCCAGTACAGGAAAAGCCAACTTTCAAACGATGGATTGTATTGCGGAAAGGTTCCAAACCCCAGCCGAATACAGATCAGTAAACAGTGTGGTAGGGAACATTCCCTTGTACAGAATATCCCGCAATCTGAAAATCTCCGCCTGAACATTTATGCAAACACAATAAACACGCGGACAATAAATCTGAAGGCTTCCCCAATTTCCTCTGCAATTCCGCTGATGTTTTTCTTTCCTTTTCGAGAAAACACATTTTTTACACATCAGCACGCAGGCAGTCTTCTCCCATTCCTGCTTCTTCTTCTTCCTATTTTTTTTTTCAATTCTTCAGAAAAACCTCCCTAACGAGTTCGGGGAGTGCCAACGCTCATAAATCATAAGATTGCAGAGACTCTGAAATAAATTTCACCCTGGAGGCCAAAGATTTATGTTACGCGCCGATACATTTATGTTCCGGACGTTGCCCCCTGTTTCATTCCCCCTTCCACTCAGCGCAGTGCTCCCCCCTCCAGTCCCCCTTCCAGCTCTCAAAACACCGGGCCGGCGTCAGGCCTTCGACCGGGGTGTGTGCTCCGGGAAGGGAAATACACGAATCCCCCGCACTTCATAGGCGGGTCGGACTAGTCGAGCTCGGGCCGACTAATTCCCACCCAACCCCGGAGAGGGTTGGCAGACAATGACCGGTGAATTTGATGGGGAAACTTAGGAAAACAATGCCGTGGGGCGTACCGGTGCAGTACCAGCAATCCGTGTTTGCCGGAGGGGGATTTTGGAGATAGCTGCATCCCGCCTCACGACACGACCGGTGGGTCGGCCAAGGCACGGCGAACAAAAAATAACCGATTACGGGGAGAGCGTCAATCGTTGATTGTGGCTATAGGACCGGATACTTGTCAGGATTAAAGGTCTATTTCGGTACACAATCTCTGCAGTGCCACTCAATTCCTCGTAGATCATCTCTCTCGGCTGATTTTCTGTTAAGAGAAAAACTTGTCTTCAAGCAATGTAAGTGCTTTACTAGACACACCCAAATTAAGCCTTGCAGAATCTGTCCCTTTCACGAAGTACTTAAGTACAACATGCCCGGACGCCCCCCCCCAAGAAAAATTACCTGAAAAGTAACAAACCCTAAATTGTGTATGTTCATATGTTGCGATGATGAGGAAAAACGACACGAGACGAGGTCATTATGACGTCATCTCTGTGATAACTGTAAAAGCTAGTTTCCATGGAGAATTGAGATATAGAAGCACCAACAGCCCGATTCCGATAAGATTAAAAAGTGACCCTTTAATGTAAGTTCACTGTCCTCAGATGAACGCTTGGCGGGAAATATTTTTTTTTAATGTCCGAATTGTGTTTCCCCAGCAACATATTCACGAAACGTTGTTATATTGAACGATTCTCATGTGTATGTATGGAGAAAATAATTTTAGCCAAATAAGGGAAAACAATTCAATAAACCATTCCAACTAAACAAAATGCCCGTTATCTATTCACCAATCCAACCGGTAATTTGCTCACCAAGCAGCCAGATAACTGACCAACCAACCGACTGCACAGCCGACCAATGACCAACAGACCCACCTATCAAATGTCTAATCAACCAACCGACTGACTACTTACCCAACCAACCAACAAATATCAAAATCAAATCACAAATCGAAAAAGAAAGTGCAAAGAACAAACTAAGATAGCAAATACATTGATTGATTATTTCTTTAATCTAACACACAATCGTTGGAATTTCACACAATGTACAGCTAATATACCAAAATATATAGAAAATTTGATTTCAAATTTGTTCGTTTCTTGTTATTAATTCACACACATAAATGCAAGGCAGTTTGTTCGATTTGGCATGGTATTGCCATATATAGCATTCAATAACACACACAATAATTTACATTCTAAAAACTGGGCTGTAATTATGAATACAAAGCAGACAAAATAGGTTTGCATTCTAACATAACATGGAGTGATGTGTTCACACAATTCCCAATGTTGAAGATCCGAAAAAAAGTTCAAAACTGCAAGATGGCCTGACTAATATACATGAAGAATCCAATGAGATCAACATTTTTGAAGATCACAAAAACCCCAACCAAAATATGAAGTTACCCTGTGACGGATCAACATTTCTGGTGCTTAAAATTTTAAGGACCACAAGTCCAAATGTGTTGTGAAGTAAAGCAAAATCTAATGTGACTATCAAAATATATTATGTATTCTTTACATAATCCTCATGACAAAAATAGACCCTTTGTCAGCAAATTTATGAATAAGGCTCATAAGACAAAAAAGTTACAGCACCACAAGTACTCTATTCAATTTAAAAGCATAATCTTATAAGAAGGCTTTATATAAATGCATACTTCATTTTGAAAGATCAGCATCAAAATGAAAAGGATTTAGAAGTATGAATTAGCTTGTTGCTCCATGTGAAGTAACTGCCTAATAACATGTCTAATGCTGTTTATAAGACAGCATTTTGATGTCCATGTTTAATCGGCAAAGCTAATGTAACATTTATGACTCCTTACTTCAATGCCCAACCTTATAAACCCTCAAGGAGGTAACATATTCCAGGACTAAAACAATTATATGTTATTTCTAATGAACAAAAACCTCTCTTCTATTTTACCCACATGAAATAATACCATATCTGAACCCCGGTAGTACCTTTTCTAACATCAGAGAAAAACACACAACAAGCAAGTAATAATGCAAAACAAACGATTGCACAATTTTCAAGGAAATTTTTCGGACATTTTAAAATGCTTCTGGGAATCTCTAGGGCTTTTCAGGACGGAATAAAAAAGACTGTCAGGACAAAATAAAGAAGCTCTGGTGGACTCTTATAAACCATCTTCCTCTTTGTGTCTCATTCTCCATGAAGAGGCAGATGAAAACACTGGCTTTCCTGGCAGTCGACCCTTCATCTCTTCCACTGTTGGGGTAAGATCCAAGTTTTGCTTGCCCCTGATAGGCGAACGGTCTGATGGACCTGCAGGTTTGTCTAGACGTCGACGAGGCTGCAACTTGGTGAGAGCAGAGGATGTCTGGGATGGTGCCGGCGGTAGCGAAGACAAGAACTGCGACAATTTTGGCTCTGCTTCGGGTCTCTTCTGGTTCATTCTTCCATAGTATGTCTTTGCTCGGTTAAACTTGGGAGGTTGGGGCATGACGTTCCTTTCCTTGGATCGACTGAGTGAGGCATTGCCTTCTCCTGAAGTCTGTAGTCCGATTTGTGCAATTGGTTTCCTCCCTTTCACCCTGTCGCCGGAACCATTACCCTTTTGATTCATCTGGACAGACACATGCTTGTGAATCACAAATCTGTCTCTCACAGGCTCAGTTTCGGTGGAGGGCTTTGGAGGCTCACTCCAATCAAATGCTGTCGTAGTGCTGGCTGAGGCCATCATAAGGGGTTTCCGAGTCACAACTGGCATTGTCTTGGACCTCACCATATTTGACTCGCGAGGCCGGCTCTGGCGCTGGTTACTCCTTGTTGAGGTGTCTCCCTTATCTAACTTTGGCCTCTCCTTTATCACTCCTTCATTCTTCGTTGTCCTTTTTATGGCGGAGGTAACACCTAAATCCACAAAGAAACTTGCTGAATTGGAGTTTTTTACAGGTTCTGATTCATCCAGTTCACCAGCAGACACACCTTCCTTATCCATTTTGTCATCCACCCCCTGGTATTCTACTGCTTCTAACGCCGTCTCTACTGTATTAAGAATGGCCTGCTCCTCATGCTCCACTTCTTCCTCCATTGTTTTCTCATCATCCTGTTCCGAGTCCATCTCGTCAGAGTATTCTTCAGGTGGAGAGATAGTTGGGAGTGGAGTCGGTGCGTAGAACTCCGCAAGGGTCAGCTTTGTGGTTTCGCGTTGCACAGGATTTGTACGCTTGTTGGATGACTCTGCTTGACTGTCAATGCTGTCCGTTTGTTGGTGCTTTTGAAAGACGGATCCATTGTTGCCGTTAGCCTAAGTAAAAGATTGATAGCAAATTATCTGTGACCACTAAGAGGTTAAGGCTTTTCTACTAACTTTTCTTTTGGAGATAAGGTTGGTTTCTCTTGAGCAAGAGGTGGATGGGTAAATGAGTGACTGAGGGGTGTAGTAAGTGGCAACTAAGAAAGAGCTTAGTGCTTAGCTTGGCCAAAACTGAATTATGATTTTAGTCCCCTTATGCAGCCTCAAGGTTATTCCCAAGGGCTTGTGAGACATTATTCATTTTCAGGCTTACAAGGGAATAACTCCTGCTTATATGTGCAAGAAACTCTTCATCACCAATCTCAGCAACCAATGCTGAGATTGATTGAAGAAGGCATGTAATCGATTATGAGATTGCAAAAGTTTATGCATAAGACCTTTTTAAATGAGTAAAGCTACCTGCATGGTGTAACAAAATCCTCATTTAACCATTGAAAGCCTCATTTAACCTCATTTAACCACTGTGTCATTCAATGCCACACCTTTAGCCTGGACAGAAAATTTGAAAATTCCAGAAGAATATTTTGGAGGACTGTTTGTGGTTAAAAAAGGTAAATATAGCCACTATAACTTTACATGAGGCTTGAAAGTTGATGTGGCATCTGGTTCCTACACAGAACAGGCTTTGGAAGGATTCAGGTAAGGTCTGTAGCAAAAAGAAATCTAAGGAGTTATGGTTAACTTATTTATTTCCTTATTAACCCTCCTATGCAAAACATGTATTCTTTGCAAAGTTGTCCATTCATAATCAGTCAAGTGACTGTTTTTAACAGTTAAGAGCTCCTAGCCCACATAAAGCAGGATTAACTGGCTGTGACTGTTATATAACTTGATACAGCTAAACTTTGAATGTCGGTGATTGATAAGACAGCTGTGACTACCAGTTGCCTGCTTTTGTTTGTTGAATGAATTTGACTAGTTAGACTGCTTGTGTAAAATAGGATCTGACTGTTGGCGACTAGCCTGTGTACAAGGCATGGAAGGAAAGTAGTGGATGGGATTTTTAACTGACTGCGACTGTTCAAACAGTAGGAGGGTTAATGATGAATACATTCAAATGACATGAATGGGAACTGAATACTAGCAATCAACTTACATCTTCTGCAGGTGTGTCTCTTCCTTCATCAAACTCCATGGGTACTGAGGAATCCGTATCTTTGCTCTCAAAGGCTTTTGGATCATGCTCCTCCTCCGAATCCTCCTCAAGGGGGTGCCATTCTGAAGCAAAAAAAAAGCAAAAAAATTAAACAAAACATGAAACGTATTCTTCTTTGATGAAACTTATTTGATTAATAGGGCCTACCATTAATAATATCATGAAATGGAGATTTTTATTGTGTAAATGTAACCTGTATTATTGTCACAATGTTTTTCTAATCAAACAATTAAAATGGCATATTTCAGCCTTTATAGCAAGGCCTTCTTCAGAGGTAAATTTCATTGTATATTTCCGGCAAATCCAGTCAGTGAGCTGTTGGCTGCACTTTATTTCACTTTCACATTTTTTTTCTACTGTGAGAATGCTTTTGTCAAAGTTCATGTGAATAGCTTTTCACTTGTCTTCTAAGACTGCATGACCTGCAAAGACCTGACTACAACTCTTGCATATCTAAACAACTGGTATGCAATATAAAAGAACAATACACAATCTTGAAGTTTGGAACAAAATGTTGAAACATGCCAAAATAGCTTTGGATAAAATGGATCAGTAATCATGCCGAGAAATGTGAAATGGATAAAAATAAACCTGCTAAAGAAGTAAAATTTATAAAATATGCAAGTAATTACTTGTGTTTATTTATAATTTTCTATACAAAGAGAAAAAAAAAAGAAGGAAAAACGGAAACAAAAATTAAGACAAAAATACCAAGGAATTGAAAATTTACTTCATAATGCGGTTTTCATATGCACTACAGCACATGGCTCATGCACTTAAAAGCTTCTGATTGAGTAAAAATAAAAAGTACACAGAAAAAACATGGAAACGTTTTAAAGCAAGAGAACATGTTGTTCAAACTGAGTTATCTCACATTTGCAGGGGAGTTGGCTCCAAGATTGTTTGCATTGCAAAATTTGAAACTCAAAGGAAATGCTTATTAAAAGTTGTTAATGATGATCAGCTTTGTAAAAATGAAGGAATTTGAAAGTAGTTGACACAATACACAAGGGCAGATCCAGAACACAATTTTTTTCGGGGGGAGGGGGGGGGGGGTAAACAAATTTTTGGTCCCCCAAAAAGTGGGTCAAAAAAATTACGCCGTGGGGTTTGGGGCCCGCTTAAGGGCCCCAACATTTTTTTGGATTCTAGATGCTCTGTGGTGCGATCTGAGGCAATTTCTGACCGCTGTAATCAATGTTTTTTTGAGGAAAAGATGGTGGTGTACTCCTTGCCTGCCTTTATTGCGACGTCACATAAAAACAAAAACAAAATGTTTTTTTTGGGGGGGGGGGGGCATGGCCCCCCCCCCCCTGGATCCGCCCTTGACAATACAGAAGTTTCATGACTTTGTCGTTGATGTGCAAATGCCCTTGAAGGGCTTGGTCTTGGCAACTGACCAAAATGAAAGAGTAGTTTTTAATGTAAACAAAAAGCAAAGTAGGAAAAACTGACAGATCTATTTCACAATAATTTAAACATTGTTTTCAAATGTTTCTGGCTAATGCAGAAGAGTCCCAAAAGAGGCCTTTAAGAATCCCGACAGTTGACATTCACTGAAAGGCCAAAACTGACACTGTCTTCATGAATATGCACCTAAATACATAAAGTTGAGAAACGTTTGAACAGAACATGCATTTGCCCAGAGAAACGATCTTCATCTGGTGCAACACCACTTTGTTGTACATGTACCCTTCAAACAAAACGTCTATTTCTGTTCAGTTCATACTTCTCTTAGTAAAGTACAGCTGACAAATTCATACTTCAATTAAGTTTAAAAAGTGCTAAATATTTGATAATTCATAACGCGAATACTTGACTTAATGTCACAAATTTGTTCTGTTTCGTGCTGAGTTTGAACCTTTGGTCTTTAACGTACACAAATTTATAAAAATCTAAACAAAAAGTAGTACAATTCTGTGGATAAATTTCCCCAGAACTCATTTCCCAGCCTGGTAAATTAGCTACTACCGTTTAACCCTTAGACCACAGATGTAAAATGAAGATAAGTTTGACAGAAGACACATAAACCTGCATGTAAAGCCTGACTACATGACAATAAAAATGCCGCATTAAATTCACAGCAGTTTTAAGAAGGAAAATAATTACATTACAAGAATTATTTCAAACAGGAATCAATTTAATTTTTTTTACAATTCAAGAGGTCAATTTTAATTATGATGTAATATTGATTCCATGTAATAACAGTAGATAGTTGTAACCAAATTTTCTTGTACAGGGTGACCCCCCAAAAATGCAACCCTGAAACATTTGCCTTTTTTCGAAAATGTGATCCGTGAATTTTTATGTTTTGGATATCAGCTTTAAGCTGAAATGTTTTTCTTTCAAATACTGCCAGTTATGCAACAAAACTCCTTTTTGTTCCATAATCTGATATCCAAAACATAAACATTCACAGATCACGTTTTTGAAAAAAAAGGCAGAGTTTTCAGGGTTGCATTTTTTGGGGTCACCTTGCATAGAGCTATGGGCTCCACAAACACGTTCCCCCCCCCCCTCAATGGTCAGCAAGTGAGAGTTGGGGGATACCACTGGAAGCTATGGACATTCGAATGCATCACCGACGACGCCTGATGCTCACGTGAAGACACTCTGGTTTTTTTCACATTCAGAAAAAATCAGTCGTGCCTACTTCACTCTGTATATGTAATGCATGCTATACGCGCGTGCGGTGTGTCCCATCCTCCGGGCCCTTGATGGTGGTAAAACAATGCCCTCTGTTGTTCGCAAATGGAGCTTACACGGCTTATATATTAAAACAACATGGGCACATGAATGATGGCGGATAGATGTAGCCAAAGCGCTGGACATCCCCCACCCCTTGTTTCATACACGCCTTACTTAAAGGAGCCAAAAAAGGACCAACATGTGACTGTGCCGATTAAAGTGTACGAAAGGTGCATGGAGTGTGTGCTTCCCATTTTAAACTCAAGTGCACAACACCTGTAAAGTCTACTCATGAGAGAAATGGGTCTAAAATGTCAGTGCATGACAGAAATGCTGTCAAGGCTGAGGGCATCGACCAGCCACATTGGTGTTTTGCATTGTTATGGCTCAGGGTGTAGATATAAATGGACAGTCTCTTGTTAAACTAGTTCACCAGGCTGTTCATGTTGTAACTCACCTGGTGCGCCCACCACTGCCATTGTGTGCCAGGACCCACAGGCTACCCTGGCCACTGGATCATGTCCCCAGAGAGAGACTCGCACAGGGGTGGGGTGCTGGGAGGAGGGGTTCAGCTTGCCTTGGGTGGGGATCACGTGGCTACTCTTACCCCACATATAGAGGGCACCATTGGCTGAAAAACAAAACGACACAAACATGTACCAACGAAAACTACTGTGTTGCGTTCCTGGTGTTACATATAACCATGTGTGATAAGATGGACAATTAAGATGAAATTCTGATTTGGGGTTTTAAGCCTGAACAGACATATGCATATATTGTTATTGTTCAGATCACTTTTCTCTTTTCTATTTTTCTCTTGTGATTTTGTTTTCCTTGGTAGTTTTCCTGAGACTTCTGAAAACTCAGAAATACTCTACACTTGCTACGAATTATTTGAGCATTTCTGCAGCACGAGATAGGTGTTTTGCAAGATTATTGGGTTTTGCGAGATAAATTGTCAAATTTCTTGCAAGACAACCGTACTTTCTATTATTATGTACCTGAGTAAAATCGCACCAGCGGGATCAGTAAACAAACACGTGACATGTTCATACAAATCTGTTTTAACACATGTACTACGAAAAGATGTACTGATGTGGGCCTGACAAAGATAACGTCATCTAATGGCAAGTTTCCAAAAGAACAAACCAAAAGATATTAAGATGTTGGGAACAAATTAGCAAGCCAACTACAACCTAAGAATAACCTGTATTCCTGCTTGAACTCAAAAACAATAATCTTAATTCCTATCCATCAATATGCTCAACCAGACCATTTCTAATGTTTTCACATTACTGAGAATACTTGAAAGCGCCCCATTCTACGACATGAATTGTTTACAAGTGTTATGAATCTGGTTACACCTGGTACTGATTAAGCAACACCCATTCTAAGTTCATGTATATTCCATGCAAATATAACAAACTGTTTAACTTTGACTTTACAATGTTTGGTTTATTGTCAAGAAACTTGACAACTTTTGGAAAGTAACCATTCTCAGAGCTTCAGAGCTAAAAATACATCTATGAGAAATGAAATGAAAGTTTAATTTATGCCTTTGCAGTCAAATGTTGACCGATGGGTTGATTTTTGGGCCACCCCAATTATTTTTAGTAGTGGGTTACATTTTTTGAAACATAAAAATACGCACATGTGATCGCAGCTGTATAGGAGTCACCGCAAGCAATCTGCGAAGCACTTGGCAATGCATCATGGGATAGCGGCCGTGGCTCACGGAGATACAGGACCTTTGACCCATGACCTAGCTGACCTTCCGTGCCTCCTCCCCAGGTGTAGACTGTGCCATTTGCTGCAACGATGAAGAAAATATGGGAAGCCGTCAGTCACACACTTTTGCAATAGTATTATTTGCAAACTCAAAGTTTAACAGAATTGTGGGTGTTCTGGGAATTTACACAATGTATTTTTTATGTGCACATTATGTGTCTATACCGACTTTCGCTGTGCTACATCATTACTTATCTCAGTCAAGCAATCCTGAATCCCTGATCCTGATTGGTTGATCGGGGCAACAACAGTGTGATATTATCCCATATAGCATGGTCCATATAACTGTCTTCCGCTTATGATCGTAATTGTCTAGAATTTGTGCACTATTCCTTCTGCATGTACATGTACGTGTAATAGAATAACTGCTGAAAAGTTCCTACAGTGTGCCCATTCCATGTTTGCAGCGCATCAAGTTAGATTGAAGACAAATTTGATATCCCACCTGCGCTGTGTTGTTGAACACGGAAAATGTAGTGTGTCTGTGTTCCATGTGTTTGTGCCCTATATGCCACGAGGCCGAAGGCCGAGTTGCATACGGGATGCGAATGTACTACATTATTCTACTCGCTCATGGCATAACTAATATTACCCTGTTCATTGGACAAAAGCTGCCACTTTGGCGGAAATGGCTAATTTCAACACAATGACCAACTTTCTGCCCTTACAAGTATCCGTTTGCTCTTGATTGAAGAGATACAAAATTATAAAGTGTCTTGGTTGAGGACACACATTTAAACTTTGCGGGTACATATGGGCAGGCTGTCACCGCCTTATGGGGAAGTTTTTCATTGTTAGGAATATTAGGACCGAGTTATGGGGACTTTCTGCTGTCTCCACAGCGTCTTCGGTCCCCATATTACCATGGGAAAACTCATGTGTAGTCTCCACAACTACGGAACAAGAATGTATGTACCTACAAAGTGGTCCCAATTTTCTTTTCATTTTTTTCAGAGGCAGATTTCTCAAAATTCGGGAGACATGTTAAAATTGTTTTAGGATATTCCTAAACTACAAGATCTTGGTGGTACATGGTAAAAACAGCATTGAAAATAAAGCTCAAGTTAAGAAATAGCGGGCATTTACAGAAAAATGGTCAAAAACAAGTTTGTCCACACATACATGTACGTCTATGGCAGCCATTTACATTCAATATTGCAGTTCTTTGTGCACACAGTGCTATTGTGTTGACCATATCTCACAGACTTGCATGTGGACAAACTGGTTTTTGACAATCTTTCGTTCAACCATCACCATTTTAAAATTTAGGGTATACTTTCAGTGCCATTTTTAACCATATATACCGGTACCATGAAATGCTGCACTCTATGAAAATCTTAACATAATTTTAACATGTCTCCCCAATTCCAAGAAATCTGTGTCCGAAAAAGTGTAAACTTTTTATTGGACCACTCTGTATTGTTGTCACAGGTACCTACATGTACACTCATGGGAGGAGAGGAAAATGAATAGAGAAAAAAAAAGTGTCTTGCCCAAGCATAATGACTTCCAACCACATTCGGAAGAGTTCAGTTGGATGCATCAGCATGAAAAGTTCCAACAGTATTTTGTTAATGTTCAGATAATGAAATTTCATCCGTAAGAGTGGGTGTTTGCCACATCCTTAAATGACATTTGCACTTGCAATGTGATGTGTAGGCCTGTAACACATTTACAATACGTACACATTATGAAAATGATATGTTATAATTACAACTATACAGAACATTATATGACACATCATCATTTAAAATGAACTCATTATTATTATTATTATTCTGGTTTCTTAAAGCCACTATCGCAGCCCGAAAGCTGAATTGAAATGGCATTACAATGAAAAAATTTAAAACTAGTAAATATTCAGTATAAAAAACACTTTATAATTAGGAAGAAATAAAAAAGATTAAATAAATATTATAAGAACAATCTGAGACTGTTGTATCATACAAATATAAAACACACAAACAACCAAAAATAACTGGGGATGGTAAGGGGAATTGTAGGGATAGGGAAGGGATTGAAGGGGGGAGAGATGGGTAGGGGATTGTAGAGGAGGGAGGTCGAGGAAGCAGATAATTTCTTTGAGAGTGGACGATTAATGAGAAAGAATATTAAAAAAAAACTTCATTAAAAGTTCACTAAGGTTGTCATACCGAGGAAGGGGTGGACTCGATCACAAATATCATCTTTCGTTATAATAACCACCGGAATTACAATGAACACAATGCTAATGAATCCTAAAAATACAATGTTGCGGTATTGTTACATGGGTTTATTCTCCATCTATTAATCTGAAGTGGTAACCTTAGTAGAGACAACCCCCTAGTCTACCTACAATGTTTATAAATATTAATACTATTTTCTTAATACAAAATAACAACTTCATTATAGGATTTATCTCTAGGCCTATGAAACAGACCACACCGCTGTGCATCTTTAAGCAAGAAAAAAAAGAAGAAGAGTAAATGGACACTATATATACCCCTTCAGGTCGCCCAGGGAGCACAGTGAAAAACCAGACTGCGCCTTTCATGCCCTGAAACGCCAAAGTGTACAATTACAATGGCGCAAAACTGCAGAGGGGTGGGGAACCAGCCGTGGAGGCAAATTTTAACCACATATTAAGTGTTTAAGTTGGGAATACGGTTTCACTGCGCCAGGAGCCTAAGATAATAGAAAAACATTCCAAGTATCTTGAACCCCCTGGTTAATAGGGTTTAATGAACGGCAAAGAGGAAGAAAGGAAGAAGATATAAACAGGCTGCAGATGAAACTTGATGATTATCGACAGCGCCCATCAAATAATTAGATTGCGCACGACATCAAACTGCATAACTAGGCCTGTTTGCTTTGCAAATAGAAATTACATGAAATGAACTAATCACAGTTCACAATTTGGTTTTGACCATGGGGTGTGAGTTTTCTTCTTTTTTTACTTTCATGTTAATTGCATGCTATCTGAAAATCTGTGGTGTCAGTGCAATGAAGTATAGGTGACAGAGCACAAGTATAATTAGTAAAAGCAGATTCAACAAGTGATTCTGTTTTGTAGATGGGGTCATTATACAAGTGACATGTATTTACAACTATTTGATCCCTTTTCCAATGGTAGCTTTTCATTTGAAGATCTCCAGTTTTGTACAAATATCCCAATTTGTAATTGCTTGCTTTAGACTTTACTGCTTTAGTAACAAGAAGCCATGTAAAACAAGACAGTCCTAAAACCTTAGCAGATCAATTTACTTAACAAAACATCACTTGTTGGAGGCTGGGTAAAACTAACTCATGCAATGTAAAACTGAACATAATATCGCTGACAAACTACTATAATCTTTTCAGGTTCCAGTGTCAAGACTAACTATACATTACATAAATTTTACGCCAACAGCTCTCACGCCAAGAAAAGAACGAAAAAAAAAAAAACCTATGTCAACTCTTCAAATGATCACCCATTATCATTATATTACAACTGGCCCAGAGCCTAACATAACACACAAATATCTTCAGACAGTTATCCCCTCACGTACAGGAACACTCCACGCAAGTGACAGACAGAGCGAGAGAGCAACGACAAGAAAGATCCAGAGAGAAGAGACGGAAATGAGAGATGACAAGGGAAACGAGAAGGTACAGAGACGTAGGAGCGGCCACAAATAAAGATGATGTTGCATGAAGAGTTCCAGCAATTAACTCCTGAAACAGGGCCGCGGCTTTCCTCTCGCCCGTTCCGGAAACAGTCATGTGGCGGTCTCCATTTTAGTGAGAGGGGCCATGGGGCAAGCAGGCGGCATAAACACAAAAAAGGGAAGAGGACATTACCAAGGCTGAGTAGGATCGAATGAGGATGGTCTCGCGGTGGGAAAGAGCAGTCAACTCATAACCAGCCAATTAACTCCTTGAAAGGACGAGCTATAAATCAAATATCTCACCTGTTTTTTTTGACATTTGGGGCAGTATGATTTGCTTTTTTTTGTACAGAGTCCCAATCTGGTTGAACTTCACTTTTATAAGGTGCACTTTCTTAAACATGAAGATGAATTACATGAGTGGATTGATCATAAAGTTAGGGCTTTAATCTTGTGCACCAGCTTAGTATTTATATCGCCTTCATTTTACGTAAAAGTAAATGTGAGGGGAGAGGTTTTGAAGAGAAAGAGAAAGAGAAACTGACATGTTACCCTGAATCATCAATACAATTTATTCCATGTTTCTTAAGTGTGCTGTTGGAAAGCCTCCATGGTCCACCCCTGAATCTGCTTACTACAGTCATGGGGTTTGCAAGGAAGAAACATGAGACATGCATGTAAATGTCATTTTCAAATGATCACAAACATAACTGCATGTAAATGTCACATTCAAATAAACATCAGGAGAGGACAAAATCTGGGAAGGAGTCAAAAGTTCACTTTTCTTTTGTACACATTTCTTTTCGTGACTCCATTCACACATAACAGCATGTTCATCAAAATGGAACTCTTATGTCACATGCAAACCTAAATCATTGCTCTTTCGTAACATGCATTTATACTAATCTTGAAGTAACACACACATATCTTCCCAATTTGTTTTACATGTTGAAGTACATCACCTCGATTTGGTAGCAAAGGAAAAATACTGAAGCGGCAGTCAACAATGTGGTTCAAGAGACATTTAGGTCACTGCTAGTCGTGCCCAGCTCATACCCTAGATCCAATACGAGAGTCGGCCCCATAAACCTGAACAAACTGTTTTATTTGGGTGAATAAAATCCAGGGCCTGTGGCATAGCACCCCCCCCCCCCAAAGTCCTTTGCTGACAAATCATAGGTGAGGTCTATGTCGATGAACTTCCATGAACCTCATTCCTAAAGTTCTCAAAAACCCCTCGGCACTTTTCCCACCCCCTTCTTCCCTTCTTTTGATGATGTACTTGACTGTAGTGTGCAGCTGTTTCAGCTAAAACAGATATGTTACTTTCACACCATCCAAAATCTCTGTGCTGGACCCGGGTTTGTGCAGGCAAAATTCAGCCCCATCAGGACCAGGGTTGAGAGGATCT